AGATGTTTTTATATAAGCTATTTTTAGTAAATATTTAGTGCACTCCTTCCGATGAGTAGTCAATGCGAGAACTCGCTGTGTGTAAAATGTCTGATTACCTCGAAATGTTCTTCTTTTTCTCAATATCATAGATCTCTAAAAGTTCAGATATTATGAGAGAAAAGAAATAAGAGAAAACGAAGAAAACTGACGTTTACGTGTTATGTGAAAATTGTCTAATGTTGATCAAAATGAATTACCTACACGCAAAGTGTTCGACTTTCGTTCTGCGATCAACGATACTCCGCCGTTCGAAGACTTTTGAAAAATTAGAAGTCTGTATGGTGATATCTTAGAACTTTTCTAAAATCTGTAATAATATACATTTTCTACAATATTATTATTTTAAGATATATTTTACTTATTTCAATTGAAATAATAGTATTCTCGAAAGAATTTTGTAATTTCATTTTCATATATTAGAGTAGTTGATATTTTCAGTATTATTATCTTACTTTTTGCAAATTAAGGAATAATGAAATTTTATTCAATTTTAACTCAATTAAATTCGAATTAATTTAACTTAAAATTAATTTTAGTTAAATGTATAAATATATTAAATAATTTTATTTATAATAAAATGATATATAAACAAAATGTCAAACATTTTGCAAATATTCGTAAAAAATTATTAACTAGATTATTAATCCAAATGAAATTTAAAAAATGTGAGTCAAAAAAGAAAAAAATGACTGATAGTTGTTCATAGAGATCTATCAAAATATTATTTTGTAATTACATTAAATATCACCAAAGATAAAAAAAATATTGTCTTTAATCAAGTATTAGGAGATATATTTTGCATTAGTGAAATTTTAATTAAAAATTCAACTTTCTAGAGATCAATTTTTCACTCATTCACGAACAAATATAAACGATTTTCAATAATATAACATTAACATAACGGTTTTCTATTAACCTATAATTCACGTAACGGAGGATTTTCTTCAAAGTTCATATAACAATTCACAAAAATCTCTTATTTCATTCAATATGTTTGAAGGGATTGGAATCCCGTCAATATATTACTTCTAATAGTAGTGCAAAACTTTTGTGTAGTTAATTGAAAGAAAAAAAGAGAAGAGAAAAAGATGAAAAAAAGAATACGCCTTGTCGTTCTAACCTAGTTAAGTGAATCGCGAAAAAAACGTAGTATAATATAAAGTGTTTATTTTATTATATATTTAAGTATTTAATTTTAACAAGATTATTATTAGCATAATTTATTAATTAAGTGTCAATATTTTATTAATATTTGATGATTTATTAAGAAGAATCATTTTCTTTTATATATTAATGAATGATAATTGAAGACTGGACGTAAAAGAGGTTATAATCTTTTTTCGTAATATAAAACTCTTTCTTTATGATAATTAATAAGATTTTAAAATAAAAATATCAGAATGTGATGTAAAATATTTTATCAATTAATAATATAATCGTCTTTTTGAAAATTTTAATATAATATTCATTTTTACGCCAGTACTCAATTAATACTTGCCATTTCAATATGAATCAGAAAGAATTTATTTTACAAGAATCAATAAAAAATTCAAAATCTTTGTAGATTTTACAATCATAATTTTTTATGATTTAATATTTTTGTTTTTATTAGCAACACTATTTTTAAAACTAATTTGAATTTACTTCATTTAATTTATTTTATTTAATATTTATTTTTCATTTCATTTTATTATATTAATAGAAAGTTTAAAAATCTATTTAGATATGTTTATACAGTTTTAAAAAAATTCTAAATATTTTATTAAATAAACGCATTTTATTTTTACATTCCTGGATAGAAATAAGATTTCAAAATCTTTGAATTTATAATATTAATGATTTTAATAAAAATAAATGAATAAATTTTTTTTATTATCAATTTTTTTAAACTGGTATATATGCATTTTATTCTATATATGTGTTGCTAATTCAATTTTATATATTTTTTTTAAATAAATTAATAATTTAATAGTTTAAAAGTTTCATTAATTCTTATGATTGTAATTAAAAACATTTTTATTGCATTATATATTAAAAAAACTTAATCGAAAAATTTATAAAATTATATTAATGATAATCACGAACCAATTCTCGAATTTGTGTAAATGTATCGTAATATTCTTTATCTTATTATAAATTATATATGTGATATTTCTAATATATTGACAATACCTTATTTAAGGTAACAATTAAAATTTTGAATATTATTAGTAGCTAATTATTAATAAATTTTATTAATAATCAAAAATGAATTTGCATACATCATTGACCATGTTAATATGCTTAAATATATATATATATATAAAATTGACGTAACAAATCGCTTAAAAATTGCTTTAAAATTAAAAATAAGTAATTAATTATTAAATTATATATCAATATAAGTTATGAATTTAAGCTAGTAGTTTCATACGTTATATATATTATCTAATTAATCTACAAGTATTATCAAGAAAAAAAATTAATTATGTTTTAAATAAAATTGTAAATCTTATAAATTTAAGCATAAACTAAATACAAAATGAGAAAAAAGAAAATTACATATTTCTAATTCGAGAGTTTGGTTCCAAATATGTATTTGATTTTATATAAATGCCATACTCGTACAGTATCTTTATAAAAATATAAATGTATTAATAATATATTTTATTTTGTTACATTTTATGTTATATCTTTATATTATAATTGCTATTTTTAATTTTATAATAATTTAAGTCAGTATTATTTCAATGTAATTTCATAATTCTTCAATCTGTAAAGTCGTACAAAGAATCTTAATAGATAGTCTATAATCACAATATATTTTTCATGTATTAATTTTCCTTTGATTTCCTTATATACGATATATATACAAAGAAATTTCGTTATTTTATGTTATAAGTGAACAAACTTTTAAATTTAAATTAAATTAGATTCTATTTAAACAAAATACATTATGAATATTCGTATAATTATCAAAAGGATTAAAAGTCATGGATTAATCATTACAATTGATTAATCAAACAAAATTTATTTATTAATCTTTTGATATTTTTCATACTTTTAAAATTTTGAAATGAAAATATAAATAATAAATTTTTATAAAATATTTTAAAATATCTTTAATTCTTTAAATCTTTATATTCGTAAGTATTAAATCATAAAAAATTCTCGTTATTTTAATCGTACTATATCTTAAAATTTTTTTTTTTCTTAAAGCAAGATACATATCCATGACTTTCAATCACGACAAGGATAGGTGGGTGTACTGTTATTCGAATTGTAAATCTTTACAAAACTTAACTGTATACTCAGTCTATATATGATATATATATATGTATATGTACGTATGCGACATCGTATCGATAAATCGCGATGCTCTTCGACGAACGAGAAATATCTATGAAACTGACCAAAAAAATAAAATAAAATTTTAAAAAGTGTGAAATGAAATCACAAAAAGAAATGAAACAAAATAAAAAAAAAAGCGTTTAACGAAAGAACGAAAAAATGAAAAATCGTAAAGCGAAGAATAAAAAAGAAACAAATTAAAAACCAAAATTAAGTAAAAAATGTTCAAGATTCTAGTTAGAAATTCTAAAAGAAATTCTACGATGGAGACGTTTAGGAAGAATGAATCTAGTCTTTTGTAAACGATGAACACGAGAATATTGTATATTTTGAAAATTACGAGCTAGAAATGTCTCAATGCGTAGATAGAGGACAATATTAACAAATGTGTCATATTCTACTCTAATTGAAAGTAACGGAACACATGCACACACGAAATACACGAAATACACGAAATACTTTCACCAAGTCCAATCACTTCACCTATGTAAATACAACCACGTGATCAAAATCTAGAGGAATTCAATTCTGAGAAATTAAAAATTACTTTTCATATTAATTTCACATTAATTTAATTGCAGAATTTTTCGTCGTTAACATAAATTGAATTACAAATTTATTAATATTCATTTTCGTTACAATAAACAAATTGTGTAATAAAACTTGATGTCAATTGCTAACCAATAGAAATTGTAAAATCTATCACGTGATTTGGTTTATTTATTTCTAGTAACCTGACTTGGTGAACATAGTATAGTGTATACATATACACTAATTATATACACAAGCGTATATAAAACAACGTTAACGGACACATGATATGAATTAGTGCATATTTTTAATAAATGGATAAAAATAAAATCGAGAATTTTCTGATCAATCCGTGAATCGATCGATTCGATGCGAGATCACGTTCGTCGCGATGCGAGCCACTATTGTAATTTTCTCGTTTCTATTTTCTTGTTTTCGACACACGTTTATCATCCTGTGTGCAGTGACAGTGACCATATTAATTATTAACGGGAGAATATCTCCTGTATAATAATAATTGTCAATAATAAAATCGCAGTGTGAAAATAAATTGATTTTTCAATCATAAAAATAATTCTGATTTCTGATTTTATCAAATTTTATTTGAAAGACATTTTAAAAAAACATTATTGAATATAAAATTTTTAATATTTTTAATATTTTTTATTTTTAACTAAAATTTCTAGAATTTTACTAATCCTTTTTTTTTTGTTAAAAAAAAGTAAAAAATATTAAAAAATTTGATTAAAATAAAAAATCTACAATAAAAAAGATTTTGGTGTATTTGTGATTAAATAACAGACTTGATTTCGATTTTCACTTTATTGAATCTGTTTTTAAAATCTAATTTCTTCTTGCTTGTGTACCACCATAACGAACAACTGAAGAGACGATTGTCCACCTGGTCATCGAGGTAAATTGAAACAAATGAGATTTGAAGTTGTAACATTATATCCATTATTACACTTTCATTTTGATCACGCTCGGGATTTCAAATTCAATATGCATGCAATTTATATTTCTATTATTAGAAAGTTTACATAATTGTGAAGTGAAAATAAAAAATTTAAATAATTTTAGAAATATGTTCTTTCTATTAAATAATATTCTATACTTTCATCAGAAAAATATTAAATATTAATTCATTAATATTGAAATATAGAATACACTTATTATAGTTCTTTCAATTTTTTTTTGATTATTAATTATTAATTTTCACTTCACGATTTGTACAATAATAGGTCACCATAATGATTTTTTAGAAATTTTAATTTTCTATCTACAATTTAATAAAAATAAAAATAAATTTGAAAATATATATATATAGAAATAAATAGATTTTATTAATAATCCTTATAGTAACCCATTATTTATCGAAACATCACACGCGAAGGGATACGATGGACATTCTACTAATTCTGATATTTATAAAAAACATATTTAATATACTTATAATTTGACATTCGTATAACTCATCGAAGAAACTCATTACACACATAATAACTTTCTTGCAATTAAAAAACTCGAATTAATATGTATTGTTCCTAATGTCACTAATAATTACAAAGTAGTCTAATACTGCTGTTTCTCTTGGGAAAAAAATTCCCTT